CTTCTAACAAAATGACAAGTTGCCAGGTATAATATTATGCAAGTTGCCAGGTATAATGTGGCAGGCCTTTCATATAGTCCAAATCAAATTACTTTTGCTGTCACATCATCAGCAGCACGTTTTCTATGATGAGTGAAAAGCTTAGGTGCTGGCTCCAGACAGTGCAAAAAACAACAACATACTCCCAAAAAAAAACAGGACAATGTAAAATTGACAGCGATATGTGCAATGAATAGGTGTACACATAGCTGTAGGCAGTATTGTTTTAAGTATGGGTTGGTTAAAGTGTAGTGCATGCTACATATTGATGGTATGCAGTGAGGGGTATGGAAGAGTCTGTGTGAGGTGTGTTAAGTGTTCATCAGCCTGATAGTCTGAGGAAACAAACTCAGACTATCAGGCTGGTCCAGAAATGGATCACAAAGTCTTATAAAAGGAATTGAGTGTAAGGAGTTGAGAGTAAGCATCTTGGTTTTTCAAGTCTGATACAGTAAAAATGTCCTCAATTCTCATGTCCATTTTAACCCATTAACTTCCACTTTAAGAAAATGGCTGTTTCTCAATTCCAAGAACGCAGAGACCGGACTTGTGTTCTTGTGGAGACCGGTCTTGCCAGGTGTCCTCGGAAGAACGAACTCAGGAGACCACGAGGACAGAGAACGCGTCCTTTGAGAAATGGGATGCTGCGTTCTTCCTGATGGTCATGTGACCTTCACACGTTTTAAATGGAAATTATTTCAACATTACAGCACTCAAACAATGATTTATTGTTTCCCCCCTCTTCAAAATATATACTTTGCATAAAAGCATTAGAAATATACTCTGCACAATATAAATAAAACAGATTTTAATACGAATTTCAGCAAACAAACAACTCTTAATGTGTTTATTCCTTTATTAAGATGTTCATGTTAATGTTTACTTTCACCGTTTCATTTAGGGAAACTCCTGAGGTAAATAAGTGATATCTCTGAACTTTAATAATAAATCTAAATAAAATGCTGCGCTTCCCACCTCCAGTCGCAATGACTTCTGGGACTTCCAGAGCGAGTTCGGTTATCAAGTCTGCATCAGTGCGTCCTCGATATCAAGAACACATCCGGGAAGTTTCTTGCGTCCTCCGTACTTGCGGTCTTGAGTATTGGAACTGAACTTAGGCAGCTGATGATGACGTTGCACGAGAACACGAGGACGCAAGACCACTAAGGAACGCATATTGAGAAACAGCCAATGTTTCTAGTCCAGGGGTGCTCAATCCTGTTCCTGGAGATCTACCCTCCTGCAGATTTCAGTTGCTGCCCATATCAAACACACCTGAACCAATTAATTAGGACCTGAACACCACTTGATAATTACAGGCAGGTGTGTTTGATATGGGTAGCAACTGAAATCTGCAGGAAGGTAGATCTCCAGGAACAGGATTGAGCACCCCTGTTCTAGTCCAATTTCTTTGGTAAAACTGTCCTTTTCTATTAAAAAATATTATTTCTTGCGTACACCACCCACTTAAATCTAACTGAAATTTAATTTGGATCAAGATTGGATTTTTCACAGTGTTTACATGAAGTCATTTTAAAGTCAAAGCTTATTTATAAAGCACTTTTTTTTAGGAACAACAGCTATTCACCAATCCATACTTGAAACAATACTTTCGCTGTCAATCTTACATTGTCCTTTTTTTTTTCGGGAGTATGCTCTTGTATTTTGCACTGTCATTGTATTTGCACTGTCTGGAGCCAGCACCTAAGCTTTTCACTCATCATAGCACACGTGCTGCTGATGATGCGACAATAAAAGTGATTTGATGTATGAGTATGAATAATAAAACATTATGAAATATAATAAGATGGAATAAAAATAGTGAATAAAATAAGATAACAGCTCTCACAAGATCTCCCAATCTGATCAACGATTATTATCGGGTGCATGTAAACAATACATGGACAAACATTGTGCATCACACAGGTGAGTGGCTTTGACACCACCTGTAGAACCACTCTTCTCTCCAAATGCATAGGACACTTTACTTTAACTCCATCTTACAAGGATTAAATAAGAAAAACAATGTATACCTGTAAATGTATCGCAAATCATGTTGCACTACTAGTTTTCTTCAACCCTAAATATCTCTTTTACACAACATCTTGCGCAATATTATTCTTACTTATAACTCTAGGTTATGTGTATAGTTAAGTATTTATAGTATATGAACAGTTAGTAGTTAGTATAGTTATATCACCGCTCCGGTATGGTAGTAAAATAGCTCTAATGTCCAGTGTTGTGTTCATATTTATGATTGTTAATTTATTTAGCGAGACACATTTTGTTCCACTGTTTGTCTACACATGTAAAGGGATGACAATAAAACTTGACTCAACTTGACTTGTAATAGCTTTAAACGCCTTCATCACTGTAGTGAGATAATAAAATGGTTAAAAGTTATTATTTATTGCTAAAATGTTGTTACCTGGGTTGTTTGTAGAAGGACAGACCCTGTAAAAGTCTCTCCCAGTTCCGATTCAACTCATCCTCAATTTGGGCCTGCAAGATATTACCAGAATATATGGAAAAAAACTCTGTGAGGTTTAGTAAATAAGAGTACATTGTAAAAGTTCATCAGATTAGTGAGGTTTCAGAATTCTCTACAAGGGATAGTTCACCCAAAAATGTCAATTCTGACATCATTTACTCTCCTCCACTTGTTTCAAACCTGTATGAGTTTCTGTCTTCTGTTGAACACGAAGGAAGATATACTGAAGAATGCTAAGGAAAAAACAGCCATAGACTTCCAAAGTATTTTTAGTTTCTACAAGGGAAGTCAATAGCTTTTTCTTTCAAATCAATCTTAAAAAACACAGAAAGTAAACCAAAGTGATTTAGTGACACTCCAGGGACAGAAGAGTCTTCACTGGCCAGCTTCCAGTCTCTACGGCTGAGACTGCAGCTCTTCACAAGACTTTTGGACAGCGGAGAAATTAAAATGGTTGTGCCCAACTGAGTCTGGTTTCTCATTAGTTTTTTTTTTCTTCACTCTCCTCAGTGAAGTTTTTTTTCCCTATCCGCTGTCGCCACTAGCTTGCATGGTTAAGGATCGGTAGAGCTACGCATCAATGTATTTTAAACCGCACTGAACTGAGCTAAACTGAACTGAACTTAAACACTAAAAACACAACCAACATTGTAAATGCGCTATACAAATAAAGCTGAATTGAATTGATTGAGGTAAAGTTGGTTTTATATTCACACATACAGACTGTCTCTTTAATAATCTAATTTCAGAAGTGTATTTTTTGCAAATACTAAATAGTGAAATTATATTAGGAGCCAATGACTATAAGAGTACAACATTGTTTACAGTCAAATAAATAGTGCTAATGTTGTTTTAAGTCATACTCGCATGTGATTTCAGACCCAATATTCAAAGTACCATGGTAAACAATTTAGGGAGCATATCAAGTTATCACTGAACAAATGTGCCAACTAAAGTGTTGTTTTCCTAACATTCATCAGAATATCTTTTGTTTTTAACAGAAGAAAGAAACACATACAAGTTTAGAACCACTTAAGTGACTAAACAGTGAGTTTTATTAAAATAAACCATCCCTTTGGCTTAATATTTAACATATTAACAGCTATTTAATACAGTTTGTGAATATATAATGTTATTACATGATGGAACAACATTGGTTTGAGCACTAACCGGTTCTCGCAGTGCAGATCTTCCCAGCAAGATTGACCATAACTCCCGGCTGCTCCTAGAAAAACGTTTTTAAGAATTTGTTATTAATTCATTGGATGGAGAAACATTTCTTTTAAATTATGTTCTGCAATGGAACAAGTAATCAGTGATGAAATTGAGGTAAAGTTGGGTTCATATTTCACACATTCTGACTTTCTCAATAATATTATAATTTCATTAAAGTATTCTTTGCCAAAGTACAACACTTTTCACAGTCAATTAAATGAAACTAATGTTGTTTTCAAGTCCAACTTTCATGCGATTTCAGACTAAACATTCATAGCATGCTAAACAATATTAAGGACTGTGTCACAAGTTAACACTGTTCAACAATGAATGAATGTGCGAAAATAAACCAACTTTACCTCAACATTTATAAGGAGTTCACACATAATATCGGACTTTAAATCCAACAACTTTATTGAAACTCACATTAAGTTACGCTACAGTTTTTGAACAACTTAAACAGCCTATTAAGAATGAACGATTTATGAAATTGTGCAATTTATGATACCTGGATGTATATATACACACTTTAATTATAATTACAAATAAGTAAATAATTATATATTGTATAACGTTATGTGTATACACACAATGAAACTCATTCATCACTTTAAACATAAACACACATTCGTTCTCACCAACACAGTCGAAACCGGTGAAACATTCACATAGAATCAAGATTAACATGTTTATTCTGTATAAATTAATGAAAATAGATGACTTTATAAAGACTAACGTTACAAGTTAACATTTGAATTTGAGCCGCGCGCGTCTGTCAGCGCACGCGACCGACTCATGCGGCCGTTAAATTACAAATAAACAGCACGTCAAAAGTATATTTCCCAAATATCCCAAGGCTAAATACGATATTTATAAAACTGACACATTATCCAACTACAAATATCAGCGTAGCTCTTTGAGAAGAGCCAAAGTAAGTTTCTCTTTCTTCCATTTTACCTGACACACATCTCCGAGTCCGCCATCTTCACCCGGATCACGTGACCAACACTCTAGAGCACTTTGAGTCACATGACTTGATTAAATCCTAAACACAAACATACTTATATTCTTATGTGAACATATGTGTATATTTAAAATATTAAGTACAAAAAAATATATAGATAATAAAAATACTTACTAAAAACATTTTTGATTTTGGTCACGTGATTATTCTGGCACCACGTGTCCCGGTTGGTTGTCCTACATGGCCGCTCCCACCGTCAGTCAGTCAGAGAGCAGCTGATCGTAAAAAAGCACGAGTCACAGCAAAATATTAGGAATATTTCCCTTTGTTCGAGAATTAAGCGACAAATAAGAGAGAAACAGGTAAGAATAATCGTTATATTGTGCAATGTGACGTTTCAGCGTTTGTTTACTGTACAGCTTGTTTAATAAAGAGAATGAGCTGTCATTTCAGTTGTGCTGTAAAGCCCATCATCCTCCTTAACAGCAGTAAAAACCCTTTAAAATGACAGAAATCATCAGTATTGCTGTTGGATTAGGATTCTGATTTAATGTTAAGGCTGACATGTAATTCAAATAAACATATAACATCTATGCGATTGTTTATTCATGCATTGTTAAGCTAATGTGCTTGTAAATGATGCATGGTTCCTTTCTAATATAATCTTTTATGTCTAATAATACAACTGTTCGTTAAACCTTCGTATTTTGGTGTAAAATAATTAGTATAAATGTGTAGGTAATTTGAAATGATTTTATAAATAGATTTATTCTGAAAACAAATGTTTTAAATATGGTTTCGTTAAATGTAATATTTTTCTGGGCACTTATTATATAATTTATTAGAGATAATTGTATATTAAAGGCACTAAGTTGAAAATGAATGAACGAATGAATTATATGTTATAGATTAATTATAGAGAGTATAAATAATAATAATAATACAATTATATATTATATTTAAGTGTTACATTTTTAATGACCTTTGTATTTATAAAAAATATTATATTATGATTTATTATATATTATTATATTATTTTCTGCATTTTGGTTTTGTCTGAAGAAAGATGTTAAAAGTAACTTTTATTTTAAAATGTGTTTTTTTATTATGTGTTATATAAAGTGCTAATAAAATAGTGCCAGAAATTTGTATTGTTAATATATTTTATTTTAATTAATGATCTATTAATGCTACAAACTTGAATTAATTGATTTTGGTTGTTTTTTCTTCTGAGACATAAAAAATTTATAATTTCATATGATTATTAAACTACTTCTAATCTTTTTTTTCTGGATACTTAAAAATATCAATAAAAAAACACATACAGCATTAAATACAGTACTTAGAAACCCTAATATTTAATACAGGCCAGGCTCTATTATTTATATGTATTATTAATCAATGTAATGCCAGAGCATCTTGTAAAACCAGATCGTTTTACTTTTGTCTTCATAATTTACCATGTTTAGAAATCCCTGGCGTTCAACAGTGCTAGAGTTCACAGTGTCTAAAGTTCAGATGCTGCTTTCCTTTCAGGGTGTGGAAATATACGCTCTGAACAGTTTACAGTACGTTTAGCTGACTATCCAACAATTTTGGATATTATAGAGAGGATTAAATGTGCCCAAAAATGCTGTCAAGTAGACTGAAAACCCTAATGTTGTCTTTACTTAAACAATTAAGTAAAGTTGACTGAACATAATTTAAAATGTTGAGTTTTGATCCTAAAAAATAGTTCACCAACTTTAGTACTTAAATAGACTATATTTAAATTGTTCAGTTCACTAAACATAGTAAGTTTGGTGAACTGAACAATTTAAGTATAGTCTACAAAACAGGCAAGTTAAATAAACTTAAATATGCAAGTTTTGGGAGACTCCATTACTCAATTAAATTGAGGCAACCAGTTTACTAAGTTAATTTAGCTCAGTCAACTTGTTAGGGTTTTCAGTGTAAGGCTTAGAGACTCAATTGTATACATTTCTGTCTTTCAAAACTTTTACATTGATTTTTAAGTGACGATGACCTAAAAATGTACTATTGTACAGTGCTGTCATTTGATGGCAGTAACATTAGTACTTTCACATGATATAGAATTACAACATTTCTTATATAAATTTAGCATTTTTGGTATTTACACACCTAGTAGGAACTTTTGATATTACCATGATATAGTAGGGCTGTGCAAAAATATTGATATATCGAACTATGGCGATATTTTCTTTCACAATAGTGTATCGATAGTTCAACCTGAAGTATCGATTCAAGTTGGACCAAACAACCTCCTCCTTTGCTTTAGTAGATGTAGTAGCTTAGTTTAAACTACTTATTTAAAATGAGTTGAAACAACACAATTCTTAGGTTTTTTGTGACAACGTGTGACAAATTTTATATTCAATACACAAAAAATTGTAGTTAACTTATTCAATTTGTGTTGAGAGAACATAAAGGAATTGTGTGGAACCCATCATTAATTACAGTGGTTTTTGGGTAGGGTTAGGGATGTAGAATAATATCAGAATAACTGTGTTCACACCGAAAGCAACGAGAGCGTCAAAGTAGCGGAAAGCCATTCATTTATTTATTGGAAGTCGGCAGCGAGGAGCAGCGCATCTTCGCCGATGTGGGCATCGAGTAGAGTTGAAATTAAGTCAACTTTATGGTAATTAGCTATGACGTGGTTTGGTGGCAACCAATCAGAATGTAGAAGTTCACCGGTTTAGAGGAGTCTAGAGAGAACACAGTTCTGTGAACTTTGGTTCCGACCACAGTTGACCCAAGGGTTTGATTATTGCAGTCGCCGGATTTCCAATTATGTCCAATGTTTTCTTACAGGGACATACATTAAAAAGTTTCTACCGAGTTACTGATGTTGCATTAATGTTATATATTTATTTTGTCTTTAAAAAAGCGAGAATCTCATGCGACAAAACCAAACAGTATTGCTGCTTCAGAATATTTCAGACATATAGACACATATTGGACAAGAGGAGCAAAGCCACACCACACGCAACAACTTGATCTTCCATAGTTAAATGAATTGGATAAAAAGCGTGCAATATTTTCATGCTTGAAAGCACGTTTTTATGCAGAAATATAACTGATTTGCTGATATGCTGCAAGGGTTAATCACGAGATCAATGTTGCGCATTTTGAAGCTCTTGCCGCCGGAGCTGTGTTGTCGCCAGGGCGGCCAGTGCGAACTTTGACGTCTTCGCCGTCTTCGGTGTGAATGCACAGTAAGATGTTGGAGGGCCATGGCCTTATGGTTAGAAAGTTGAACTTGCGATCCATAGGTCACAGGTTTGTGCTCAATTTAACTCATATTTATTTCTATAGCGCTTCTAGTAGATTGTAGATCTGTGAATGTAGAATGTAGATTGTGTCAAAGCAGCTTAACATAGAAGTTCTAGTAAATTGAAACTGTGTCAGTGCAGTTTTCAGAGTTGAAGTTCAGTTTAATTCAGTTCAGTGTGGTTTAATTTCACTGCTGAAAGTCCAAACACTGAAGAGCAAATCCATAAATGCGCAGCTCCACAAGTCCCAAACCAAGCAAGCCAGTGGCGAGGAATAAACTTCACCAATTGACGAAAGTGAAGGAAAAAAAAACCTTGTGAGAAACCAGGCTCAGTTGGGCACAACCATTTCTCCTCTAGCCAAATTTCCTGTGCAGAGCTGCAGAGTCTCGGCACCAGCAGGGATTGTTGGTGGGAATATCCACCTCAATACCATGAGGTAATTCCTTTGCAAGGCACTAAACCCCCAACTGCTCCCTGGGTGTGTGGTTATGGGTGTAAGTGGCTTTGGGTAAAAGAATCTGCTAAATGCATAAATATAAATGATACGATAAGATCAAATGTAAGATGATAAGCCACTAGTAAACACCGGAAATTGTGACTTAAAATGAAGTGTTACCAGGGCTTAATTTGTACCGGAACAAGTCAGATCCGGATCTGGCACCTCTGAAATCTGGTCCAGCACCTTATTTTACTGATCCCCCTCCTCACACGCACCCCCGCCCCACGACTCTTCACTTTCTTCTGTGACTCCCCAACCCTCTCCACTTTCATCCGCGACACCTCTCCCTCCTCTGGTAACATGTCGAATCCGTTAGCCCTATCTGTTCCAGGATATCGTAATTTACAATTATAGCATTGAGTGTTTTCAATTATTGTTTAGATATTATTTGTATCTTTGTGTCTAATGATTGTTTTTTTCTGAATGTGTCTTTACCCAGGTCTAACTGGCTGTATGTGAGAGGACAAGAAGTGGACAATGTTTATTAGTGCACCAGGAACTTTCTGACACAAAAGAAAGTCCATCATTTTTTTTTCTGCAAACCTTCACACACACTCTGCAGTCATGCAGATGGATCCAGTGCTGGTTGAATCTGCGGTGGTGTTCGCCATGGTGGTTTCCGTACACATGGCCGTGTGGAATCAGCTGTCCTGGTGCTGCATGGCATTGGCCGTCCAGGCTTTTTATGTGCAGCACAAATGGGATCGTCTGATTCGCTCTGGTGCCGCCGTCTTCCAGTTTCGTCCTTCAGCCAACAGCGGCGTCCTGCCAGCCAGTATGGTGCTGCCACTACTGGGACTCACCCTACGAGGCCGCTGCCTCGCTGTGGGAAACGTCTACATGGAGCGATTCGCAATGGTCATCACAGTAATCGGAATGATGTTGGCTCTATTCCTCTCGCTCATCGCATTGGGAATCACGCGGCCGGTGCCAACAAACACTTGTGTTATCGCCGGAATTGCTAGTAGTGCTATTCTGTACACCGTGAAGCAAACACTAACAGTGTCTGAGGTCATCGAAGTCTTGGAGGTGCTTCTGATTTTTGTGTATCTAAGTTTAATCCTGCTGTACCTCCTTCCACGTTGCTTCACCCCCGGCGAAGCCCTTCTGATCCTTGGCGGGATTAGTTTTATCATCAACCAGCTAATTAAGCGCTCTCTGGCTTCGTCTGGAAATGCAAACTCAGACCCGCTTCCGTATTTCCTCCCGGTAGCTGTTTTAGGGTTAGTGCTGTTGGGAATATTCTTCGCCGTGCTTTTTATATTCATGGAATCTGAAACCTGGTCAGCGTCGCTCTTCTTCCATACCATGACTGCGGTTTTGGGATTGGGGTTATTGGTTCCTTGGCTATCTCTACTCACGCAGCACCATCCAATCACTTGGTTGATGCATTTCATCACTGAATCAAACACTCGACTTTGGCTCATTGGGTTTTGGGCCGCTTTGGCGCTTCTAGCAGTTGCCGTTGTGATGCATCAAAATAGTCATCGATCTGCAGGCAGCAAGAAGCATCAAGCATCAACGACAGTGCGGAAGTATTTCCACCTGCTCACCGTTTTAACCTTCGCTCCCGGACTCGCTCTGGATCGTCCTTTGCTGCATTTGTCTGCGGTTGTTTGCCTCTCTGCATTTTTGTTTCTCGAATATGTCCGCTATTTTCGCATTCGACCATTCGGGGCTCCGCTTCGACGTCTTCTCACCTTATTCCTTGATGAGAGAGATTCAGGACCACTTATTCTCACTCATATTTATCTTCTTCTTGGCGTTTCTCTTCCACTGTGGTTGACACCTGGGATGTGCACCCCAAAAGGAGGCCTAGGGGGCGCTAGTGGGCTAGTACCCTATGCTGGAGTCCTTGCTGTAGGGGTCGGGGACACAGTGGCATCCGTTTTCGGCAGCAACGTGGGTGAAATCCGCTGGCCTGGGACTAAGAAGACATTTGAGGGCACGGCGTCCTCTGTGTTCGCTCAGATTATCGCTGTGGTGGTTTTCCTCATCGCCGACAGCAGTATTAACCTGAACGCCAGCTACTCGTGGGTGGTGGGATCCATCTCTATGGTGGCCATGTTGGAGGCCTATACGTCGCAGATTGACAACCTTCTGCTTCCTCTGTATCTCTACATCCTCCTGCTGCTATGAGGTCAAAACCACACTCATGCCAATGCACAGACATATTAAATTCATAAACTACGGTACCGCGCTAGTTTTGGACTTCTTTTGGATTTTGAACGAAATATGGGTACTTTATAATAAGGTCCCTGTTTTTAATGTTAGCCGCTACATTACAGAGATTGTTCACCCAAAAATGATAAATGTTTCATCATTAACTCATCCTCCACTTTGAATTTCTTTCTTCTGTTGAACACTGTTCTGTTCCATTGACTTCCATAGTATTTTTTGTTCCTACTATGGATGTTAGATGGCTGCGTATTATCAATGTTTCAGAATATTTATGTTCAACAGGGGCGCAGTAGGTAGTGCTGTCACCTCAAAGCAAGAAGGTCGCTGGATCCCTGGTTCGATCCTCGGCTCAGTTGGCGTTTCTTTGCAGAGTTGGCATGTTCTCCCTGCGTTCGCGTGGGTTTACTCTAGGTGCTCCGGTCACAGTCCAAAGACATGTGGTACAGGTGAATTGGGAGGGCTAGTAATTGTCCGTAGTGTATGAGTGTGTGTGTGTATGTTTCCCAGATATGGGTTGCGGCTGGAAGGGCATCCGCTGCGTAAAAATGTGCTGGATAAGTTAGCGGTTCATTCTGCTGTGGTGACCCCGGATTAATAAAGGGACTACGCAGACAAGAGAATGAATGAATGAATGAATGTGTTCAACAGAAGAAAGAAATTCATAAAAGTTTGTAAAAGTGAGTAAATAGTGAGAAAAATTTCATTTTTGGGTGATCTGTCCCTTATGTTGCGTTATGTTTGTTACAATATTTATTTGAATCAAGTAAAATACAACATTAGAGCTGCATGATTAATTGTTAAAAATCACAATATTGATTCAATCTTATTCTGACTCATGCCAGTAGGTGGCGACAATAAATCATTTGTTCAAGATTCATGCAAAAAAGCTGATTTGTCCAATAATGAATTAAGCGAAGTCAAGTGAGCCATTAAATCATTTAAGAAATTTGTTCAAAAATGAAGGTTCAACAGATGACAGATAAGTCATATTCAACTCATTTAGTTTTGCCTTAAACATAATAGTTTAACTAACTAATTTCTAATATCACCTTTTTTATCTTCCCCATGGTGAGGGTGAGTACATAACATTTTACTAGTTATATAAAACATTTTAGCGTGTCATTGAATCGTTTATGGCATTTGTTAAAACATACTGGTTCTTTGAGTAATGACTCAAGTCAAGCCTTTATGAGTAAGTCAATGAATCGTTCAAGAGATTTGTAAAAAAAAAAAAAATGCAGGTTCATTCAGTAAGAAAACATGTAAAGCCTTTTTGAGTGAGTCATTAGTCCCTTTCACACAGTGATACATAAATATCTAGAAAATTTACGGAACGACTGTACCGGTATATACAAAAAAGCGCTGTTCACACAGGCGAGGACGTTACGGAATTTTTCCGGAAAAGAGCATTCACACATCCATTCCAAAATACCGGTAAATTCTGACATCATTCACCACAAATGAGCTTTAAACGGCTGCGCTTGTATTTGTAAACATTTGACTACATTACAAACTCTGTGGATGATCAATATTGTGAACAACTTTCACAGGATCACTTTCGCATGTCGAGATGTTCATAATATGTGCATGTGCAGGCGCTCACAGGCTGTTTCACAGGCACACGCAAAGCTTGAAGGTAAACAAACAACGGCTTATCATAAGCATCTTATCGATGATTATTTACACAGTTGGCATTAAGAAGAACATATAAACGTGATCTGACTAACTTCTAGCAGCTAAATGTGTCTGGAAAAATATTCGAAGGCTTTTATTCTCATAAACCGCGCGGACGTAAATGCGTCTGACTGTTCTGATTGGCTAAAGCAGACGTCTTACGTCAGCACGTTCTAGACGTGCACGCACTTATTCCGGAAATCTTACTTCTGCGTTCACACAGCGCAGCATTTCGGCAAATTGCAGGTAATGTTACAACTTCTCTTTACGGAAAATAGCCAGAACGAATTTACCGGTATTTTCAAAAAGGACCTGTTCACACATACAACCTTTCCGGAAAATTGCCGGTAATTTTCCGGAAAGGTCTGTATGTGTGAAAGGGGCTATTGATTCATTCAAGAGACTTGTTAAAAAAGCTGGACCACTGATAAATGAAACAAGTCAAGTCTTTGAGTGAGTCTTTAAATCTTTCAAGTGATTTGTTCAAAAATGCTGGTTCATCAAGTAATGAAACCAGTCAAGCCTTTATAAGTGAATCATTGAATCATTCAAGGCATTTGTTCAAAAATTCTGATTCATTGATTAATGACACAAGTCAAGCCTTTATGATTGAATCAATGAATCGTACAAGAGATTTGTTAAACTCTGGCTCAAGTGACGAAACAAGTCAAGCCTTTATGAGTTAACAATTGAATCATTCAAGGCATTTGTTAAAAAATGCTGGTTCATTGATCAATGAAACAAGTCAAGTCTTTGTGTCATTGAATTACTCAAGAGATTTGTTTAAAAAGGCTGGTTTGTCCAGTAATGAAATAAGTCGAGCTTTTATGAGTGTTTGAGTGAATCATTGAATCATTCAAGGGGTTTGTTTTAAATGCTGGTTATGAGTAAGTTTTTGAATCATTCATGAGATTTGTTCAAAAACCCTGATTCATTGAGTAACAAGACGAGCCTTTTTGAGCGAGTCATTGATTCGTTCAAGAGATTTGTTTAAAAAGCTGGACCATTGATTAATGAAACAAGTCAAGTCTTTTGAGTTTTTCTTTGAATCTTTCAAGTGATTTGTTCAAAATGCAGGTTTATCAAGTAATGAAACAATTCAAGCCTTTACAAGTGAGTCAATGCAAAAGATTTGTTCAAAAATGCTGATTTATCCAGTAATGAAACAAGTCAAGTTTTTACGACTGAATCATTCAAGAGGTTTGTTTAAACTGCTGGTTGTAAGTCTTTGAATCATTCATAAGATTTGTTCAAAAACACTGATTCATTGAGTAACGAAACAAGTTAAGCCTTTAGTAACTCATTGAATCATTCAAAAGATTTGTTTAAAAAATTAAGAATCATCAAGGAAACAAGTCAAGTCTTTAAGAGTGAGTCATTGAATCATTCAAGAGATTTGTTCTAAAACTCTGGTTCATCAAGTAATGATACAAGACAAGCCTTTATGAGTGAATCATTGAATCATTCTTGGCATTTGTTAAAAAATACTGGTTCTTTGAGTAATGACACAAGTCAAGCCTTTATGATTGAATCAATGAATCGTTCAAGAGATTTGTTAAACTCTGGTTCAATTAAGGACACAAGGCAAGCCTTTATGAGTGAGTCAATGAATCGTTCAAGAGATTTGTTTAACTCTGGTTCAAGTAATGACACAAGGCAAGCCTTTATGAGTGAGTCAATGAATCGTTCAAGAGATTTGTTTAACTCTGGTTCAAGTAATGACACAAGGCAAGCCTTTATGAGTGAGTCAATGAATCGTTTAAGAGATTTGTTAAACTCTTGCTTTAAATAATGAAACAAGTCAAGCCTCTATGAGCGAGTCAATGAATCGTTCAAGAGATTTGTTCAAAAATGCTGGTTCATTCAGTAAGGAAGCATGTAAAGCCTTTTAGAGTGAGTCGTTGATTCGTTTAAGGCATTTGTTCAAAAATGCTGGTTCATTTATTAACGAGACAAGTCAAGTCTTTGAGTCACTGAATTATTCAAGAGGTTTGTTTTAAAAAAAAATGCTGGTTCTTGGAGTAATGAAACAAGTCCTTTATACATTTTTGAATCATTAAAAAAATTCTGAATCATGCCAGAATCATAATTTCCAAACCGTAAAGTGATTCTCAGAATCGTGAATCATGCAGCTCTACTGTTTATGGCCATTTCATGTTAGCTCCTCTAACATTATTAACAGATATGTTTTTATATGTATTCGTTCATGCTGAAATGAACATGAAAATCAATAAATATTTCAGCCTTTTGCTAGTTCATGTTAGCCGTAGTTAACTAATGTTAAAAAAATGGAACCTTGTAATAAAATATGACCCCAAAATGCAATAAAAAACACTTATTAGAGAGTTCATAACCCTTGTAGAGTGAAAAGAAATGCACTGAAATAAATTCTAGTATAACCACTTTCTCTAGTATTGTAGTAAAGCAAACTAGAAAACTTGATACTATTATAATGTGGCACAAATTAAAGATGTCATTTCCTGCATCACATCTGGCAACGAATGGAAGTTTTAGTAATTATATTATGTGGTCTTAACTCATTTTTTGTATATGTCTATATTGTTTTTAATTCTGGTAAGTTATTTCTATATTGTTAAACAAAATAATTTAGTTAACATTTCTTTTAAGCAACAGCAATGCTTCTAAGGTTTTGCTTTGTTACCTATAATGATCTGGATGGCAAAAATTAATTTGCTTCCATTAATGGTGCAGAAATAACTGCAGCTTCGTTTATATTGTGTGTTTGTATTTTCCAAGGTTTACATGCGATGATGATGAAATTGTTGTGAGTGTTCATTTTTGAGCGCTCCCTGAAAGCTCTGACGTCTTCAGACACCATTAATATTTCATTCACTCAAATCCTGCGTCCGTCACTCCAGTATAAATGACAGGGATTGAGTTGCACACTATTAAAAGAAGAAATGGAAAAATACCCTTTAACGGTGTCTGGGTCTGAGCTGCCTGATGAAAACACACACACACACACACACACACACACACACACACGTCTGAATGCAAAAACACTGAATGAAGGGTCTACATTTAGTTTGTGAAGGTGAAAATGTTTTGTCTTTATTTTTTGATTTTATAAAGCTACTTTCCAAATACATGTATTGTTAAAAGTGCTACATATGTGTACTTGAAAAACAAAAGAACAAATATATTTTGCATGCTAAATTGCCTGTTTTTGGAACTATATGGTTTTTGGGACATTTTCTTGACAATTATGCACATTCAGTGATATTTGCAGCTGTTTGTACGATGTTAAACTCTGATGTATAATGCTATATTTTACAAATACACTGACATATTGTTATAAACCTTGACACTTGGCAAA